ATTGCTCAATCAGTGTTTCAGCCACGCAAAGACATCAATATAACGGCTTGTATACAATATGTCACGTAAGGTCACATTTACCTCAGAAAAACATATTCGGTGACTATAAACTCATTAGTCAGATAGGAAAATAAACTGTAGAAGAGGGGCATTTTGCTAAATATATGCACCATATAACATATTCATTTTAAATTTTATGTTTGAATAATTCCATCAAGTCTTTATGACAGCCACCATTATGTTTATATATATATATATATTTTAAACGAATTGAAGTAGAAATATTATGTAATTGTAACTTTATTATAAAAACTTCATTAAGTGTAATTTTAACAAATCAGTCCATTTTAACCTTCAATATTATAGTAATGTAGTACCAACTGACTCTCGTGTATATTTTACAGCATTAGTTGAGAGATTTTATTTCCTTGAGAAAATTTGGTATGTACTGTACCTGATATATATCCAAAATAATCGATATTGAATCGAATCGAATTGGTGATCGAATCGAATTGCAAGCTTGTGAATGAGAATCGAATCGAATCGTGAAATTTGTGTCAAAACCCAGCTTTACTAATGATAATAACATCTAAAATATGTCTCTTAGACATAAGATTAAGTGTCATACAAAGGACAGTAAATCCTGTCCAGCTAATGCAAGGGACACGGCAAAGATGTTAAAATAACAAAAAACAGCCTTTACAAACTATTCAGTGAATTTTGTACATTGGTAGTATCATAAAGCTTGTCTCTGTTCCCAAGCATGACGGGCGTTTGTTTTATGGTTGTGCTTCTGATCTGTACATTTGTGAATCATACTGTTGTGTTCAAGTGCGTGTGATTCTTTTGGTCCCTGAGCGAAAGCGTTTCCTTTGCGTCCTTCTTTCTCTCTCTGGAGGTTTGGATAGGTGTGAATCTGTAGTATGGAGGAGGAGATAAGTATACGTCCAGAGTTATTTATAGCATTAGGTGAGTCATACATGGTGTTTAAGTTGATTGGAACAGAGTTGTGCTGCTATGTTAGAATTATGAATAAGATAGTGAGAAGAAATCAATACAATGGATTCGATTTCTCCATCTGTGGATGCAGGAAGTCATTTTTAAAAATTAAGCACTTTCAAAAATCTTAATCTCAAACCTCCTGTCAAACCAAGAGAGTAATGTTGACTATTCTGATAAAGCAATGTATTCTTAGTTGTAGTTTTAAAATTTTTTCGTTTGAGTTGGGATTTTTAAATGCCAGATTCTCAGAAGAAAAAGCTGGAAAGGCTGCGACTTATTCTCAGTGCACACCAAATCAACAGGTTTTGCTCTGAAGAGCTTGCGTTGTCCTGCTGCGTTAGTTATGGGTAAATGGAAGAGAAGGTCAGGGCGTAAGTATCTGAATCAGAGTACATCCACAGTCTGAATGCTAAAGCAGATGAGCACAGTAACAGGCTTTTCAGGAAGGTTAAACCAGTGTCATTTTAACTCTGTTCATGTTTTAATAATAATTGATTCTGGGTCATCAAGTTTTAAGATTTCAAACTGGACATTGAAATGTCATTTATTCCTGTGATGGGGAAGCTGAATTTTCAGAAGCATGTGTCATATAGCATATACTGTATGTATAATCATGTGCATATGTTGATTTGGTGCTCTGCTCAGGAAACATTTCTTATTATTATCAACGCTGAAAACAGTTGTGCTGCTTAATAATTTTGGCGAGACCATGATAAATTTTTTAAATTATTTTTTAAGGAATCGAAAGTAAAAAAGAATGGCATTTATTTAAAAATCTTTTATAAAATTGTAAATGTCTTTCATTTTGAATGATTTGATGTGTCCTTATTGAATAAAAAAAAACGTTTGCGTGTATAATATACATCTGAAACACTGCTGATACTTAAATGAAATGTATCAAAAAAATAAAAATAAAATAAAAAAGTCTTCTGAGCTAAAAAAGGGCATCCTTTGAGCAATACATTTAGCCTTTGGGTGGAAATGTCCTCAAGTAAATGCACTTTGGTTGTCTGAAGATAAAGAAAAACTAAGACAAAGGAGGAAAACACAGAGGAGCGTTTGTCATCACTGTTTGACATTTTTGACGTTATGTCATCTTTCTTTTTGATGTTAACGCTGAGAAGTGCATGGCAGTTTCTGCATCTCTGAGACATCCATTAATATTTAATAAGCAAAGACTTTAAGCGAAACAGTAGGGTGCTGAACCCCTTTCAAGATTACAAGTGTAAAACACTGCATAACCCAGGGTTTCTTTCACATTTCTCCTGTCCTCACTTTCTAGTCATTGTCCAATGTATCAAAAGAGGAATCACACTTAGTAGGACATAATTTCTTTCAGACCCTTTCATACTGGAGAAACCTGAGGTTGTTAAGAAAAAACTTTTATGCAAGTGAAGGGTATGCATGAGTGTTTTTGTGTAATTTTATATCTCATTGAAACTAGGCGAATATTAGATTCTGAATGCACAAAATTGTCACAATCTCTTGATTATCTGTTGAATGTGTATCTCTTTTTCAGTGCAGTCTAGTGAAGACATTATAAAGACTGCCGTTCATTTAAATGATTCCACCATCTACAGTCACGAAGAGGAAGCGCTTTGTGCAACTCTCAATTTCTCCTTTTCCTCTTAATAGTCAGGGGATGTGAATCACAGTCTGCATTCTTCCTACTCACCTCGTATACACTCTTTCCTTCCTGGTATTTTTTGCAAATGGTTTTTTTCAGCTTTGAGTGTTTGATGGTGCCAAATGAGAGTACTTGTGAGAGGGAATATATTCATAAGACCTGCATCGTTCGACAGATTCACCAATCATGGGAACATCCACAATGTGTAAAATAAGCTGTAGAACAGTGTTTGCTTTAGTTCATCGTGCTGTATGCATTCGGCTGACTCTGTTGTGTCTCCATGTCTCACAGGTCAAGCAGATCATGGAGGAAGCAGTCACAAGGAAGTTTGTTCATGAAGACAGTAGCCATATTGTCTCATTCTGTGGTAAGTCATTGAACATACAAATGTTTAGCTGAAATGTGCTGGTAGAAAGGTTTTACATTTGTTTCTAACCCCGAGCACCGTCTCATGCTTTATTTTGGTTTTTGATCAAAGTGCTTTTTCATTTGACAAACATTGCAAAATTACCTTGTGCAGCTCACGAGTTATCGTTTTTTTTCCCCACTGCCTTTGTACACATAATAGAAAGGTCTAAACGCTACACAATAGATTTTATTTTTTTTTAAATTCCTTGAAAAGGTTTTGTTTATTTTATACGGTGTAAAATTATAGCTATGTTTAAGTGTAATTGGATTAAAATTCATCGCAAATCTTTGAGCAAACAATTGAAATATTAAAAATACCTCTTTTTTTCTTTTCCATGGGAGGCTCTGGGGATCTGTGTTTCAGTGCCTGCCAAATGTTGGGCAGCATGATGGTTTGGCTGATTTCCAGGTAGAGCGAACATTCGGCATTTAACAGGGCTTGGAAAGCATCAAAGCACGTAAATGTCGAGAAGTGTCATGTTTATTAAGTCTAGATTAACATAGAGTGATCATTTCAAAGTATGTGGACCAGTAAATTAATGTGTAATTGATCGTGTTGTAGTGCTGCCCGCTGTTTGTCAGCAGAAAATCTGTCCACGTAATAAAGTAATCACTCAGACGTGCGTCTTCTCTGTCGCTGTGCAAATTCACATCAAGATAGCATGACATGATAATAAAGAATAAATGAGTAGTCATTAATAATCCAGTTTCTGCCAGGTCATATTCAGCCTGTTAGGTGAAGGGTTTATAGGCCTGTTCAGCTTTTTTTGTTTTTTTTGTTTATTCACTTTGACATTTTATATTTTTTTAAAACAGCTTTTATTACTCCAGGATGCTGGCAACCATACCACCTTCCCTAGAATTTAATCAGCACAGCTCTGTGAGGGGTCAAACGCTGTTGGCAGGTTTGCAATGTGTGTAAATTAGACTCTGCATCCAAGCGATTATTGTTCTCAAAAGTGTCTCGTCGGGGTAGAACAGAATCAACAAAACCTTGCAGTTCGAGCTCACAGAAACAGCTAGTGGAGATTATTTCTTTAGCCACGCTGTGGTGTTTCTGAATAACACCAATCAAAGTAGCTTGAAAAAGAGCTTTTGATTAATGGCCTTGTTAACTCATTTTATTATGTTCCTGCAGTGGCAGTGGGATTCGGTAGATGATTATAGGGCCTGTGTGCATTGCTGGTTTCTGGTTTCAGCTGGTTGTTTACTCTCCTGTAATTCATTGAGCTCTGATTCATCATGATTCTCCTCTGCCCTGCTCTGTCTCTATCTCAAGTCCTCTCAACTGTCTCCTGCCACATCGCTGAACCTCTGCTGGCTGAAATACAAGAGTTCGTAGAAGAGGCAACAATAGGAAAAAAAATCCCCAGATGAGATCTTTATAATATTTAATCAGCAGTGAGATTAAATGGATAGCCTTTTGCTTAAGTCTCAGATGTTTCTCCTAAAAAAGACTCCAGCGGTCTCACATACATCTCTAGAGTTTCATATTTTAATGAGGTATAATGAGGTATTTTCTCTTTTCATTTTTAGTCATGTATTTTGTTGCTTTTGTCTTTTTTTTTAAAGTGTTGTTTTTATTACATTTTAGTTTTTAGTTTTAGTTATTTATTACTTGAACCTAAACTAAACAAAAATGATAAATGTTGTCTTGGCAATAGCTGGAATAAAATTTCAGAACACCATTTTTTTCCCAAGTTATTTCTTTTATTTCAAATAATATATATATATATATATATATATATATATTTTTTTTTATGGTTTTGGTTTTGTTTAACAATAATAAAGCTGGCCCAGATTTGCCAAGGTACCAACGTATGCAAGATTTCAAAATAAACATATCTCAAAGATTCTCAGAAATTCCTCTAATTCAAAACCTTGTTGTGTCAATGGTTGTCTCATTTGTGTCTTTCATTTCTCTTAAGGAATCTGAGACAAATGTGATGATTCACACGAAAATGTATTTAAATTCTATTACCTTCTCTCCCTCATTGTTCCAAATCGTTATGCTCATAGTCATTCAGTCAGTTGGGTCCAATGTTGGTTTGGATCCCACTGATTTTCATTGTATGAACAAAAACGGCTATTTAAAATATCCATTATTTAAAGAAATTGTATTGCACAGGAGAAAGAAAGGGTTACAACAGCATAGTGCTGGGCGGTATACCGGTTCTTACCGAATACCGGTGTTTATTTTTGTTATGATTTGAATTTTTAAAATACCGCAATACGTATGTCGCTTAAACAACATTAGGAATGCGACACTGTTTGAAAGGGGTCCCTTTTCACTGTTGCACTGTGGTGAGGGAACAGCTGTATGTGTTACTAAGCTTGAAAGTTCCGAAACTGAAGCTGTAGAACTAATAGAACGTGATGACAAAAGAACTCATCCACAATATCCACATTGACCTCCACAAATATCCACCGCCCCCTTACCATCAGCTCCCGCGTCTCACACACACACACACACACACACACACACACGCGCGCGCAAGGTCTGACTTTCCCGGAGAAGTGTCCCCTCTCTCGGCGTCTGTTCTGTGCAGTGAGCGGCAGAGAAGCACCGCAGCCGACTCCTCAATAAAGGAGTACAAAACAGCGTTTCCTAGCACCTGTCGCTTACTGATTGCTTGGAATTATAAATATGAGCGTAGTTCGTCTGTTAATATCACATGCACTTTTTTGTTTGTTGTTTTTTTTAGTTTGTTACTCTGCATTAGACAAAAAAGTAATATAGCCAAAACAACCACATAGCCGCTCTTTAGTGTAGATGCATGTTGATTTTATCAGGCTGTTTTGTTATTAGTTTAAGTATTTACTGTTCAAATGCAGAGTTTTGCGCATTGTGTGTGTGTATGAGAGAGAGAGAGAGAGAGAGACTCACAGTGGAGTCAGCTGTCTTAACTGTGGCTTGTGTACTGCAAACACATACCAGCTTCATCACTGTGTCTGTCACGCGACTCTGTTCCGCTTTCGGGCTTGAACTGATGGTAAAACTAATGACATTATTTACTGTCTTTACATTTATTTTGAAAGATGAAGCTGGCGATTATGGTAAGGGGCGTTACATTTCCGACGAGTGCTTGCGGTGTTCAGCCAATCACAATGCACTGGGTCAGCTGGCCAATCAGAGCAGACTGCGCTTGTCGGAAGGAGGGACTTTGTAGAAAACGAAGCGTTTGAGAGAGGCGGGGCATAGAGGACCTAAAATAATGTACAGTATTTGAAAAATAATGTGTTTTTTGAACATTAAAGCATGTCAACATATTCTGTTGTACCAAATACACAAAATAATGATCTTTAAAAAAGCATCATATGACCCCTTTAATGTGGTATTTTTTTACCATATTCGTTCGTCATGACAGTAAAATATGGCATTCTAAGTCAATATACTGCAGTATTTACTCTCTCAATCAGTAGAAAATAGGGTTAACCTGGTCATGCATAAAAAAACCCCGTAATGTACCATGAAACCGGCATAATTTAGACAAATACCGTGATATAAATTTTTGGTCATACCACCCAGCACTACAACAGCATGAGGGTGAGTAAATGATGAAAGAATCATCATGAACTCTTGAACCAAGAAAGAGCAACCTCTGAGCAATAGAATTTTCCTCTGGGCACTTTTCAATAGAATCAAGACAAAAGCAAGGATACTGGAAGAGAAAAGAAAGAACGCTTAATCATTATGCCATAATGGATGAATTGCATTAGGAGTGTGTATGTTTACACTGTAATGGTTTAATATTGCTGCTTCTTCTAGTGAAGCACTGGCAGATAATAGGAGATGAATGGAGGGTAGCCAGACTCTGCTGTAATTAGCCATCGTGATTATAGCGATGTTTACACACCACAGATGGAAATGTCAACACTGACATTTCTCATCATTGCAGATATGGGACACGATTATCAACTGTGTGCAGTTCTGTGGGGTTTTAAGACATCTCTTAATTTTGTCTCTAATCTACGTGGGGCTTTGAAAGCATGTTGTTCGTCACTCTCGGACGCTTTTACGTCATTATGTTGCAGAGTAAAGTGCTGGTCAGTGGGAGTGGAAGGGATCGTATATATCCAGGTTTCATTTTGTTCGCACTGTGACAGTGTGATTAGAAACCATTAAGGTTGGTGGTGTGATTACATTTTTAATGAGCATTTGAGATCAGGGTCGGGGGTGGCCGCCTGCTCCCTGTGCCATTTCCTGAGACCCAATGAGTCGTGGGGCTTGTTTGTTGCTCTGGATATTGCTTTGGAAACGTATTTGGCTGGAATATAATTTTCTTCCTCATGCGGTCTCTCTGTCTCTGCATGTTCACTTTCATTTTACTTTGGGATAAAGCTGCTTTCATTTTCCTTGCATACTGATTTGTCATTTCACTCTCACAGTAAAATGACTGAATTGAGAATCAGTTGGGATAAAAATAATTGAGGCCTACTTTGCATCCAGGCCATCATGCATCTAAAGTGAGCTGTAGTCACAGAGCATAAGCATAAAGGAAATTTCATCTGGGGCTGAGAAATAATCTTTAATAAAAAAAATAATCTTTCAAGTTTAAAGGCAGATTTCCCCTCCCGAGTGAAAGATGTATAAAGCAGATATTTAATTGTGGTTGTTTTTGTTTTTTTTGGTCAGAACATGACAAACACTTGCCAAACAGGTGAACATTTCAGAAATCTGGGGTACAAGAAAAAGCCTTTTCAGTCTGTTTTCCTTAACAAAATATCTTAGAGAAAAGAATTTCTTAGTTTCTGCATGTTCTTGTAGACATTTTTCTACAAAAACAGTAACATCTGTAAAAGCTGAAACAACCTGTAGTGTAAAATCTATGGGTAAAATAGGACTCTATTTTTATTAAAATGAACCAAATACAGTATCACACAATTAGATAATGATAAACAGGTAAAACCATGTATAGCATTTAGTGTTAATACATATGCACAAATGCTGTAGATTATTTAACTATTACTCCTTAAAGGGTTAGTTCACCCCAAAATGAAAATTAGGCTGTGTTTTACTCACCCCCCGATGCATCCTAGGTGTATATGACTTTCTTCTTTCAGATGAATCCAGTCGGAGTTATATTAAAAATGGTCTTTGATCTTTCAAGCTCTATCGTTGCACTCAGCGGGTGTTGCATTGCTTCTGTCCAAAAGACGTGAAATAAAAAGCACCTTTCCATAAAAAGTGTCTCACACGGCTCCGGGGGGTGAATCGATGTGTTTTTGTAAGAAAAATATCCATATTCAAAACGTAATAATCACTTGAATCTAGCTTGCGCTCACTGTTGTAAACAGAAGCAGTTCCGGGGGAATTACGTATGAGGTCAGCTTTGTGCATGCGCCGCTCAGAAGTGACGCACGCGGAGAGATCGAAACAAAACAACGGTCACTAATTAGAAGTACAAAACAAGGATTTGTAAAAAAGAATGTCAGAGGATTTCGATATATGCCAAGAGGAGACTTGTTTACTTTGCTAAAGTAAGGAAACTTTGCTTCTTTTGATTCTGTAAACAAATGTTGGTTTTCACGAGACTCACCGGCGCATGCGCAACGCTGAACTCATGCGTCATGCTCCCGGAACTGCTTCTGTGTACAACTGCTGGCGCAAGCTAGATTCAAGTGATTATTACGTTTTGAATATGGATATTTTTCTTACAAAAACGCATCGATCCGCTACAGGAGGCCTTTGTTCCCCCCCTGGAGCCGTGTGAGACACTTTTTTTTTTATGGAAAGGGGCTTTTTATTTCACGTCTTTTGGACAGAAGCAATGCAACACCCACTGAGTGCAACGATAGAGCTTGAAAGATCAAAGACAATTTTTAATATAACTCCGACTGGATTCATCTGAAAGAAGAAAGTCATATACTCCTAGGATGCATCGGGGGTGAGTAAAACACAGCCTAATTTTCATTTTGGGGTGAACTAACCCTTTAATACACATTTACATTAATAATATAATAAAATTTCATATATAAATCCCACATTTCTGCCACAATACCAAGAGGCAGTTAGTGTTACTACTGTAAATCCATGGAAAAAGCTTTCTAATGGGACTGTTCATGGCACAGGGAAAAATATATTGTGATATTAATCGGTATCGTTTTGTTGCCCAGCCCGAAGTTTGGCCAAAAATTACAATTCTGTCATCACTTACTTGTACTTGTCTTTCCAAACCCTATTTTCTTTCCTTCTTTCTTTCTTTCCCTGTTTCTAGGTTGCACTTTTTGAAAGTAGCCTGCACTACTCTCCTGAAGCTGTACAATAGCTTTAAAAGAGGAACTGACTCTAAAAGACTCTTGCTGAAGAGCTCCCCTATATGCTTATTTTTAAAATGCAATTATTATTTACTCTTGAATTTGCAATGGGGTCATTAAGTTTCCACAAAAATATTAAGCAGCACAACTGTTTTCAACATTAATTTTAGTAAGAAATGTTTCTTAAGCACCAAATCAGCATATTAGAATGATTTCTGAAGGATCATGTTGCACTGTAGACTGGAGTAATGATGCTGAAAATTCAGCTTTGATCACAGAAAATGACATTTTAAAATATACTGGAAAACATTATTTCAAATTGTGCTAATATTTCCCAATATTACTGCATTTTCATTCAACGTGCAATCCAAAACATTCATTATATGAAAACCCGTTATATTAAATGCAAATCATCATTATACCCGGTACATCATGTCTTGAGACATCTTGTAAAGGTGCCCAAGAGATTTGAAGGGACAATTTTCAGTGAATAACGACTTTGAATTTGTTTGTTCATAAGCAAAGCTATTGTATTGTCACTTTAATTAAGCATTTTGTCCTTTTTGATCAATTGAGGCTTCTGTAAACAACTTCTTTTAGTAGAAACAGTCATAATAAGAGTTCTGAATGACATGATGGGGAGTTAAAAGAAGATTCTGTTATTGTAAATGAACTAAAGATCCTCTCATTAGTTAGTGTGTCTTTAGAAATGTGTTAAAGACCTTTTGAACCTGTTTTGATGGTCCGTGCGTCCACTGCTCATTCATTTCACCCGCTCATTTTTATCTGCGTTCTCTCTTCGGCATGAATCCATTTAGGCTGGTCAAAGAGGAGCGATGAATACAGCATCAGATGAAAGCGGCTGCTGTGTTTGTATGGATGTGCATCTCTCTGAATTGTTAAGAGATTTTAACCTGAGCTGTAGACTGGTTTATCTCTCGGGCATTTCAGTCTGACTTGGACACGAATAATGGACCAGAGGAGGAGATAAACAAGTGACACTCTGATGCTAGAGATTATAAACACAGCAGAGGAGAGGAGAGGAAGTGCCATAAAGTGCTGGAGTCAGATGAGAGAGACTAAATATCGAGACTGTCACAAAGAACAGTTATAAAAGAGAACAAAAGTGACACACTGGACAGGTGAAACGACAGAAAAGGACAGGATGAGGAAAGAGGCAGAGAGATAAAACAGCTGATGTTGTTCCAGAGCCCTGCCCAGCTCTCAATGAGCACAAGTGCTCCATCAGTGAGGGTTTCCATGGCTACGCAGGCTTTCCCCCGACCCCATCCTAGCAGATTCACAAGATTAGTCCTGAGAGAGCTTCAGTATCAGCTCTGCAGGCACTGCCACGTAGTGCATTGTGTCTCAGTCCACAACGTATTTGTATTCCATCTGACTGTCTTTGGGTGTTTTAGTTTGATTACATATTTGCATTACATTTAGTCATTTAGCAGATGCTTTTATCCAAAGCAAATTACAAATTAGGACAATAAGCAATCAAAACCAACAAAAGAGCAATAATATGGAAGCGCTGTGACAAATCTCAGTTAGTCTAATGCACAGTACATGTAGCAAGGATTTTTTATAATAAAAGAAAACTTGTAGAATAGAATAGAAATAGAAAGTGCAAGTGTTTGAGGGTTAAGTGTTTTTTAAATAAAACAAGTCAAAAGAATAGAGAATGCTAGTGTTAGAGGGTCATTGTTTTACAATAAATAAAAAGAAAACAAGCAGTTCGAATAGAAATAGAATAGAGAGTGCAAGTGTAGGACAATAAGCAATCAAAACCAACAAAAGAGCAATAATATGGAAGCGCTGTGACAAATCTCGGTTAGTCTAATGCACAGTACATGTAGCAAGGATTTTTTTATAATAAAAGAAAACTTGTAGAATAGAATAGAAATAGAAAGTGCAAGTGTTTGAGGGTTAAGTGTTTTTTAAATAAAACAAGTCAAAAGAATAGAGAATGCTAGTGTTAGAGGGTCATTGTTTTACAATAAATAAAAAGAAAACAAGCAGTTCGAATAGAAATAGAATAGAGAGTGCAAGTGTTAGAGGGTCAAGTTGTTTGTAAATAATAAAGAAAACAAATAGATAAAATAGAATTAGAATAGAGAGTCAAATTGACATGTTTTCAATTATGTATTAAAGTGTTTTCTAGATTTTTAGAATTCTAGATGTTTAGATTTCGACTGGTCAGTTGCGGTATTCTCCATTCAAGTGTATTTGTATAATTACAGCTTAACTGTATAATTGACACTTCATGTAAAATTTTCATGCATAGCTCTTCACATAATGAAATAATTGATGCTTAGATTAATATTTATTTTCTGTTAGTTTATGTGTTCAAAAGTAGACAAATACAAGAGTTATAATGTACAATCAGCCGGTCTTTATCACAAAATAAACCAGTTTCGGGTCCTACAGGAACCCTCCATTTCACATCTGGGTCTCAGGGATTGTTTTGCAGTAATGGCCAGCTGACTGTACATTATCCCCTACTAGTAATACAGTATGCTTGAATATGTACACTGTCTGTTTAGTTTAAAAGTTTAGTTAAAGATTTTTTTTTGTCAAAAATACTGTAATATTTTGAAATATATTTTGCAATATGAAAAGATGTTTTATTTTAATAATTTTTTTTTAATGTCATTTATTCCTGTGATGGCAAAGATGCAAAGATTTCCTCAGCCATTGCTTCAATCTTCAGTGGCCCATGTTTTTTTTTAAATCATTGTAATATGTTGATTTAGTGCTCAAGAAATATTTTTTATTATTATCAATGGAAAAAAAAGGTACTGCTTAATATTTCTGTGCAAATCATGATGCTTTTTTTTATTTCTCAGAATTCTTTGATGAATAAAGTTCAAAAGAACAGCATTTATTTGAAATAGGAACCTTTTTGTAACATTATAAATGTTTTCACTGTCACTTTTGATCCATTTAGTACGTCCTTGGCTGAGCATAAGTATTAATTCCTTTAAAAGAAATCTTACTGACCTCAAACATTTTTAACAGTAGTGTAATTTATAGAGTACATGAAAGTGTTTATTCCCACATTTTCACAGCACTGTTTTCACTATTTTGCAATCATATCATTATTTTTGTTTCTCTGATACACAAAAAGCCTTTCATGGACTGGCAAAACATGCTCTTTCTTCTTTATGGAAAATGGTCCATTTATGTCCTATTGTCCATTTTGTCTGTGTGTAAATGTATGTGTGTGTAGCTGCTGTTGAAGCCTGTGTGCTTCATGGGTTAAAGCGGAGAGCTGCTGGTTTCCTACGAAGCAACAAGATAGCTGATCCTTGGCTGAGCATAAGTATGAATTCCTTTAAAAGAAATCTTACTGACCTCAAACATTTTTAACAGTAGTGTAACTTATAGAGTACATGAAAGTGTTTATTCCCACATTTTCACAGCACTGTTTTCACTATTTTGCATTCATGTCATTATTTTTGTTTCTCTGATACACAAAAAGCCTTTCATGGACTGGCAAAACATGCTCTTTCTTCTTTATGGAAAATGGTCCATTTATGTCCTATTGTCCATTTTGTCTGTGTGTAAATGTATGTGTGTGTAGCTGCTGTTGAAGCCTGTGTGCTTCATGGGTTAAAGCGGAGAGCTGCTGGTTTCCTACGAAGCAACAAGATAGCTGCGCTCTTCACCAAAGTGGGCAAAAGCTTCCCTCCAGCTGAAGAGCTGTGCAGAAAAGCCCAGGAGCTGGAACTGGTCTTTGAGAGCAAGTGAGAACAGACTTTGTGATCTCCTCCAATACAACATACAACTCAGACTTGTTTAAAAATACAATAAAGCAATAGAGCAAACCTGCAATGTGTTTGCTTTCTGCAGCTCATAAATACCACCAACATACAGTATGTCCACAGGCAAAATGCCAGTAAACACTATTCCTGGAAAGAGTAATATGCTCAGTGGTACCACCCAGTGGACAATCATTCATTTTAATCGCATTAGTATCTACATGAGAATTGATTTTGACAGTTTAAAATGTTTTATTGACCTTTGTTCTTCACTTCAGACGAAGTCAGTCTCTCTCATACAGTGAAAGCACCCGTAAGATGCCCAAAGTCCCAAACTTCTCACCTCAGGCCGTCAGACATGTGTGGATCCACACCGCACTCATTGAGAAAGTGCTAGACAAAATCGTGCTGTACCTGGTGGAAAACAGCAGGTGAGAGGTGGGATAGAGATATGAAGAGAAAGCAAGCTTGACCAGTTTCTTTTGGGTGCAATCAAACTTGCCAGCTTGCATTATGTTAAATTAAAGTGACTTTTAATGTTGTTTCAGTAAGTTTTATGAGAAGGAGGCTATCCTAATGGACCCTGTGGACGGCCCTATCCTCGCCTCTTTGTTAGGTAGGCATGCTTTTTAATCATCGTTCTCATTCGTAGTGCAATCTGGTGACATGCACTCTTTTAAAACCTAGTGTAGTCAGTGATCAGCTAATTATTTCACATGCTCAGTGGAAAAATAAAGCTGGTGGACAAGAGAAATATTTTATACTGAAAAGCATAGTATTAGTAAAGAAATGTATTACTATATGTGACCCTGGACCACACAACCAGTCTTAAGTTGCTGGGGTATATTTATAGCAATAGCCAAAAATATATTGTATGGGTCAAAATGATCGATTTTTCTTTTATGCCAAAAATCATTAGGATATTAAGTAAAGATCATGTTCCATGAAGATATTTTGTAAATTTCCTACCGTAAATATATCAAAACTTAATTTTTGATTAGTAATATGCATTGCTAAGAACTTCATTTGGACACATTTAAAGGCGATTTTCTCAGTATTTAGATTTTTTTGCACCCTCAGATTCTAGATTTGCAAATAGTTGTATCTCAGCCAAATACTGTCCTATCCTAACAAACCATACATCAATGAAAGCTTATTTATTCAGCTTTCAGATGATGTATAAATATCAATTTTAAAAAATGGACCCATATGACTGGTTTTGTGGTCCAGGTTCACATATTATTTGTAAATTATCCACTAGTTAAGTTTATTATTTTACCCAATATTTGTGTTCTACATATTTTTATGCTTATTTAAGTTTCAGGCCATTAACTTACAACTGATTTCAATAGAATTTGATGTTATCGTGTTGCTGAGTCTTCCATGCAGAGCACTAATTATGTGGAATCATTCACTAATGAAGGGATGCTGCAGCTGCCTATTTAGGGAGGCAGCTCACTAGGTTTTGGACGGAGCTATTTTGTGTCATATTGTGTCTTTTGTATTCCTGGCATTGTGCAGATAATGTGTGTTCAACTTTATTTCTTCTTTAGTGGGCCCCTGTGCGTTGGAGTACACTAAAATGAAGACGGCAGATCATTTCTGGACGGATCCTTCAGCTGACGAGTTGGTGCAAAGGCATCGTATTCACAGTGGCCATTGCCGACAAGACTCTCCTACAAAGAGACCTGCCCTCTGTGTGAGTGACCTGTGATTGTATAAACGGGTTTAACACAGTTTTTGTGAGTTTAAATACTTTATCTTATCCCAGTTGAATGTGCAACTGTACATAAATGTGCAGTTCTGTTTAGTGCTGTTATTGCAGAAATTTCATCACAATTATGTGCAGGGTGATATATTGATCTTAGCATTCTGGGTTATGGCACTTTACACAATATTTAAGATGGTACGTTCTTAAAGAAAGGTCAAGAGTAAGAGCTAATTTTATAGATACACTGATATTCTCAGTCTTGAGATGGAAAGCTCTTGTGCATTTGAACGAGATGGAAGTGCCATTTCAAACTGTAAGGTTCAGGCCATTTGAAATTCACTTGATGTATTCAACCGTGCCTCGAGGAAATGTCAGGGGTCAAAAGCAGTTTATAGTCAGTCAATTGCATGTCACATTGAAGTCATAATACATAGTGACATTGTTTTTAAGCAAGCTTTCAACATCTTGTGTAAGCTGCTTATCAGGTTTGGATGTTTTCTTACACAACAGACTGTGTAACATAGATATGGCAAAGGCCAAATAAATGACATTTCAATATTTCAGAGCAAGACCTTTTAGTTTGTGTATTTGCTCTGGTTCGGTGAGGTTCTAGCCTTTGAAATCAGTGCAGTTCACTTCATCACAGGCTTCTGAAGAGGGTTGTGGTCCATAAGAGCCATGCTGTGCTCTGTGTGTTTGAGTGTAGTCCATGTTTCTGAGGAGAGTATGAACCTCCACTCAAGAGATATGTTTCACATCATTACCCAGCTCCATTACCAAACGCAGTCGTCAGATTCCTGACTGATCACCCTCTCTGGCCATCGCCAACACCCACACAACAGCAGGACACGCAGCACTTGTTTTTCGTCTCTGATAGATCTGACTGCACTGCACTCCGGGCTTGTTTTCTGATGTATAAAAATCTGCTAGTGAGCTGTAAAAGCCCAGTTTTTGGTGCCGAGAGCCTTTTTGATATATGAAAGAGGAGACGCAAGTATACATCTAGTAACTCACCAGCGGCCACACATTTATCCACCTTGGACAGATAGATGCAGTGGCGTATTGTTAGGAAAACAAGATGAATAGCTCCGATAACACTTTGTTTGCTAGGGTTTATCACTTTAATTGTGTATGTTGTCTGGTTGCATTAGTTGCTGATGTAATGTTTTGGTAGAAACATATTAGGTTAGCGATTGCCCTCAGTTCTTAATAATGTGTGCATGTGTGTGTTCAGATTCAGAAAAGACACTCCAGTAGTAGTATGGATGAAAGGCCATCTCCCTCCCCCTCTGCCAGAGATTATGTGGAGTCTCTTCATCAGAATTCCAGAGCGACCCTCCTGTTCGGCAAGAACAACGTACTGGTGCAGCCGGTGAATAATGCATTAAACATCTGTCAATTATAACAGATCTTTAGGGGGTTATTTCTGACTGCATATTTTATGTAAAGATTAAATTATTGTTTGCTTTATTGTAATTACATAGAAAATATATAATAAAAGTGCAAAAAGCTACTAGCTGAAAACATAGTATGAGCAGCATTTATTATTGACTATAGATTTGTAGTTGCTTTATAACATGGGCTTCTGTTGTGGTGCTTTCAGAGGGATGATATGGAAGCAATCCCAGGGTACCTCTCTCTACACCAGACGGCTGACTGCATGACTCTGAAATGGACGCCAAATCAGCTAATGAACGGCTCCATGGGAGATCTCGACTATGAGAAGAGGTGGGACTCAGAATAAACAGAATAAAGTGGAAATAGCATTGGTTTGTTCTTTTAATAAAATGTAATGTATGATTGATCTCTTTGAATCGGAGTATCACAGGATATGATAAGATGTAATATATTACAGGATTTCTCGTTCCACCATAATACAGGGATGCAAACTTGACACATTTCAGTGAAGCGTTCCATTCTTAATCTTCCTAAGTAATGAGAATCATTTCTAAATCTGTTGTCAACAAAAGAGAATTAATATTTAAAAATCTTTAAACCTGCAGAAACCTTTCCACCGAAACAAAAGCTCTATGGTTTAAGGTTTAACATTTGAAAGCAAAGTAATGCATTTATTGATTTGTTCAATGTTTATAATATAATATTGTATAATGTTGTTTTATGTATATATTTTTAACTGTATAGAGTGACATTTTTCCCTTTATCCTAATGCTAAAATCGACTGTAAATTATGGAAGCCCGTTTCCGCCACTGAATAAAAAATAAAAAGGGTAATTGTTTTTCCTCACAAATCAGACTTTTTTTCACAAAATTGTGAGATATAAACTCACAATTGCAAAGTTATAAAGTCAGAATTGTGAGATATAAAGTCAGAATTGCATGATATAAACTCGCAATTGCGAGTTAAAGTTTTTTTCAATTCAATTTTGGGGGGGGGGGGGACTGATATGTTCTCAGACTTTTTAACTCGCAATTGCGAGTTTGTATCACGCAGTTATGAGTAAAAAAGTCAGAATTGTGTGATAAAAACAATTACCCTTTTTATTTTTTATTCAGTGGTGGAACCGGGCTTCCATAGTATATGCATATTGTAAAGCTGATATAAAAAAATATTCTTCTTTTTATTTATTTTATTTTTTGATGAGTGATTTCTAACTTCATGCAGAAATTGAAACAAAACAAGATTTTTTTCTTTCTTAAATTAAAAACGTTTTAAATCATTGGATTGTAAGTATTTATATTATTTTATGTTGGTTTATATTATTCATAGTTATGTTGGTCACAAGCCACTCAAAGTCTCACCTGTTTTCCTGCAGTGTTTACTGGGACTACGCCATGACGATCCACCTGGAGGAGATTGTGTACTTGCACTGTCATCAGCAGGGTAGGTGACATTGTGCCAGGTTGAAAAACATCCAACTGGCACCCAAATGACACGCATCCTGCAGTTTCTTACTTGTCCATAATTCTGACATGACATTCTGAACTATTTTGAGATGCACTATTGAGAATATCCAGACTGGAACAAGGCTATGACTTAAAACACAGTATTGCATTAAACAACCAAATTCAGTCAAGAGCAGTGAGTGATTTTCTGTCTTTTGTTGTTTGATTAACGTTAATGACAGACAGCAGTAGGTTTATTAGGCTGCTGTTTCTTATAAATGGAATGCACAGCTCTAATATACTGACACACACCCGCATTCTTTCCCAATTGTTTGTTCACTTAAGACATAACTGACTGTCTTTATTTAAATATTCACCAATATGCACAGAACGTGCCTGGTGAACAGTCTCTTTTGCAGAGTTTATTAACTCTTTTTAAAATAAAGCATGTCCCACAGTAGACTGCATTTTACGAAACACACATTACATGATTGGACGTTAAGTTTTGGAGAGGCGAAAGCGCACAGCGTTAAAGGAATGGAACATCACGTGGCACAAATAGAAACTGAAACTAAAATTTGATTCTTCACATTACTGCTGCTAGCTCACGTTGAGTTGTTTTTTAAACATGTCACCATGCGTGAAAGACACATGATAGAGACGTGTGATATAATCTAATAGGCAGTCATTGCTGTAGTTTTAACATTATTACTAGGGCATAAAAGCGCTTCAAAAAGTAGATCATACAGTAGATGTCTTCAAGATCGGTCACGATATAAAATTGTCAGATTGCCCACCCCTAACATGTAATATGACCGTAATGTGATGGCACAAAATTCTCCAACATTCATAGACCCTAACGTGTTTCTGAAGGCTAAAAGTTAATCAGTATCTAGTCCCTTTTGGTGAAGTAAATCCACTTGGGTGTACTCAAATATTCAGCTAATATCCTCAATTGTACTTGCCCTTTTCATATTCATCCAAGCACAAGACCAGCGGAACGATGAGAGAGAGCAGAATTTATCAGAACATAATTGCTTCCGGAGAGAAATGAGAATTTAAAGTGAGGCTTTACTCCGATTATAAAGCAGTGTAATTCTGCTAATAATGCCAATGAATGATTCCTTACTGTACAGGCTGTGTCATGGCTTCAATATTAAGAATATCATGATGATTCAGATTTTAGATACAGTTAAGAGAGGAAATGTTTTGCATGCTACAGAAGAGTTCACTATGTACAAAACATTCAAATATTTAACCTAGTAATATGTGATAGCGAGAGACTGTGTCCTTTAAATGTCAATGAACATGTCACATTATTTCATATTAATTCCATTGTGTATGTATTTGTGTCTGCAGTGGATTGTGGAGGAACAGTGGTTCTGGTTAGTCAGGATGGGATTCAAAGGCCACCGCTTCGTTTTCCCCGTGGTGGTCACCTCCTACAGTTCCTCTCCTGTCTGGAAAATGGTCTGCTGCCTCACGGCCAGTTAGACCCGCCGCTTTGGTCCCAGAGAGGAAAGGTAAGAAAGTGATCTGTACAAAATGTAATGTTACTGTACACCTTCCCAGTGTTGGGGTAACTCATTACGAGTTACGTAATCAGATTACTTTTTTAAAGTAACTAGTAAAGTAACGCATTACTTTTTAATTTACAAGAAAATATCTGAGTTACTTTTTCAAATAAGTAACGCCAGTTACTTTTTTTTCCCATTTATTGATTGAAAGCTCTCCTGTCCCCTTGTTGAGAGAAATCGGGAGAAAGATGTTACTTTAGTTCTAGAATAAATGTGAACATGCATTAATTCATCTCACTCACTCTAAAAAAAAAAATCTGATTTAGTTTTCCTCAAAATGAATAAAAACAGTTAAAAGCAACTCAGAATATGACTCAAAGCTGCAATAATTAAATATGTTAAATAATACAAATATCCTTTATGTATTTAATTCCATTTTATTAACCAATTTTCTGCTGACCTTCAGTGATCCAATTCAACCATAGTAATAAGCAAAAATTATAATTTATAAAGATAAACTAACATTTCTTCTTCTTCTTTTTTATTGCTGAAGAGTGTTGAACTTTCTTCTATTGTGTTCTTCTGTACAGATGTGAATTTACATTTCCTTCAGCCTGAGGCTTTTGGTGTGAAATGGCTTTTACATTTGCCAAAAATATAACTTTTTATATTAAAAGCAAACAAGCAAGCCCAGCCCAGATTTAAAAAGTAACGCAAAAGTAACGTAACACATTACTTTCAATAAAAAGTAACTAAGTACCGTAATTAGTTACTTTTTTAGGAAGTTACGCAATATTGTAATATTGTAAAAGTAACTTTCCCTGACACTGCACCTTCCTCCAATATACACACTTACTCTAATTTCAGAATATGTAAAGTGTGTACCGACTGACAATTGTTTGTTCTTCCATTAGGATTATAACTTTTCAGCATTTGTGGAAGAGTAACATTTTAAGATGCTGAGTGAAAAACATTGCCATTATTTGACCAAGTATTTTTATTAGTATCCTCTGTTTTAGTCTAAGACAACTCTGTTTGATATGACCCTTAAATCACAGTGTTTTTAACTTTTTTTTATATTTCTACAATTACTTCATACGTTACACTCTGTACAGTACAGGGGGCAGTAAGAGTTGAAAGAAATCAGTACTTTTATTCAGCAAGGATGCCTTAAATTGATCAAAAGTAACAGTAAAGACATTTGTTACAAAACATTTCTTTTTCAATCAAATATTTTTTTATTCATCAAAGAATCCATAACGTTTCACGGTTTCCCCTTAAATATTAAGTTGCACAACAAGTGTTTTCAACATTCATAACAATAAGAAATGTTTCTTGAGCACCAAATCAGCATGCTAGAATGATTTCTGAAGGATCATGTGACACTGGAGTAATGTCTGCCGAAAATTCAGCTTTGCCATCACAGCAATAAATAACATTTTTAAAACCAATGAAAACATTCTAATTATATTTTACAAAATTACTTGTTTTACTGTATTTTTAATCAAATAAATGTAGCCTTGGTTGAGTATAAGAGACTTCTTTAAAAACAAACGCCCTGCTTCACTGTTTGAGCTACAGAGTCAAGACGCTACGCTGATTTTTACCGTAATTATTTAGATCAATTACGATCTCTCACTGTGCTGTTATTTGTATGTCTTGATTGATTAATCTGTCAATTGCAATTCATTTTGTGTGTTACAAATAAATTCTAAATGGAAAAAATTATTTGTTCTAGATCATCTGCAGTCATGTATATCGAACTGATGCTTCACTTTTCTTTTTCCAGGGTAAGGTATTTCCTAAGCTAAAGAAGAGATGTCCACAGGGATCCTCAGACTCTGTCTCAGACAAAGAAGAGGAAGAAGCAACAGATTTTGTCTTCCGTATTGTTTTCCCAAACAGTCAGTCAGAATTTGGTAAGAGACTGAATCATGGTATCAAACAAGCTCTTGAGCCAGTAAATGTTTCCCGATTATGGTTCGGTTATTTTAATATCAGCTTTTAGAAGTGGATAATAGCAAAAAGGGCCTCTCATATCCATCTAGGTATTGTTTGTCATTTTGGTTTTTATCCATTCATATGTCATTTGTCATAAACATTCCTTTGGTTTTACAGAGATGTTTTGACTCATTACAGTGACTTTTACCCAGTCCTCCCATCTTTCACTGGGTACTGTCCTCCTGGCCCGATCTCTCTCCCTGAACTCGAGAGGGCTGTGGCCTCCTAAACGGCAGATGCTGGTGATGCCAAAGCGCCACTGCAGCTCCCCGGGAGAGTCCCCATCCTCCCCTGAGCTCAGCTGTAATTCTCCCTGTCACCGCTCATTTATGTGTTCATGTATCAGTCTGACACGCCAACTTCTTGCTGGTTTATGCTTGCTTTTATGGCTTCTACGTCTGCAAGCAATCACTTAGTTGCCAGCGTGAGTTTTCTGTTTTGTTCAGGAGTCCTCCTCCAGTGAAATTTAGTGACCCGTGGTTAATTGTGGGCTAATGGTTGAGTGTTTTCCTGGGAGACTTGAAATTTATGTTTATTATATAATGACCATATGTGTTTGTAACAGTAATAGTGGCTTTTAAATCTGACCTGGAATGTGATCCTGTTCATTTTGAGTGTCACGGCAGCCATTATTACTTCATTAAATCCATGCAGAGTGATATTATTGCAATATTTTCTTTTCTTTTTTAAGCTGGGTGTAATAGTGGGTTCTTGTTGCTCTGCTTTTGGATACATAAGTTCCTTTTTGTATCCAGATGTTCAATGCATAATCAGATTTCTCTGTGTGTGTTTGTCTGTTAGTGGCACCAGAATTGATAGATCAGGGAGCAAACATGTGGCACCCAACACCAAGGAAATCATCTTGCTCTTCCTGCTCACAGAGTAGTTTCTCTGATGGAGCACCGCCCAATGGATGCAATCATGAAAGGTACAATGACAGAATGAAAAATTGTATAGTCCGTTTTGATTCATTTAATTAGAATTGAAAAGAAACCTGCAGATAAACAAGAATAAGCGTCTGAGGTACACAGTAGAATTTACATTTGATTTGGGTAGAAATGTAAACTTTATAACAACAACTACTACTGCAATGACTATTATTGTTGTTGTTGTTGTTGTTGTTGTTGTTGTTGTTTGTTTTTACATTTAAATTCACCCAAAAATCACAATTGGGTATTACTTCATACTCAAGTAACACCTTGTTGTTTATATGTAAAACCTATATGTTCTGTACAAAAGTAAATATACTGTAAATGTATAAATATAAAATAAATCTAAATGAAATAACTGTTAAATATATATTTAAGGGGAAAAAAATATTATCTTCTTTTCAGGGCCCCTCTGAAGTTGCTGTGTGACAACATGAAGAACCAAATCATCTCTCGGGCTTTCTATGGATGTTTGTATCCATTACTCATAAATTTATAGTCTCACAACACCATCTTTTTCCATCAAAGGTGACCTTCACATTCTCAAATGTCTCTCTTATTCAATCAATCACACACATATTTTGCCCTCTCAGGGCTGGCGTACTGCCGTCACCTGTCCACGGTACGCACTCACCTGTCTGGCCTTGTCAATCACACTATTGTGGAACCAGATGTGCCCAGTGACGCCTATGGAGGCCTCACGACAGAAGTGTGGCAGAAGTTTCTTCAAGACTGCAGCGTAAGCATGCACACACACACACACACACACACACACACACACACACACTCAAACCTGCCTGGAGTCCAAAACAGACACGTTTAAATGAGCATCTTCGCCAGACACTCATTAATATTCATTTGTCCCTAATCACAGTTCTCTCAGTTCTATCACATAAACAATATGTTTGGATGACTAATGCTGAGAGCCTGAGTGCCAGAGTGGCGGCACTAAAGGGTGCAAATCAATGTAAAATCTATACAGAAGTACCCTTATGGCTGTGATCGTTAGTGTGCTTATACTGGCTGACTAATTTATGCTCTAAACAGGCAAACCAATGTGTGTGTGTATATATATATATATATTGGTTTGACTGATAAACATTGTAAAATAGTAGGAAAATATAAATGTAAATGAATTCAAATACCATTTGTACCATTTTGTGCTTGGAAGTCAGTTTACCCATTTTGGAGTTGGTGTGTACCTGCTCTTTTGCAGACCTATGAGGAGAAGGAGTTACTGCGACTAGTTTATTTTGGTGGAGTTGAGCCTTCTTTGCGAAAGGAGGTCTGGCCTTTCCTGCTGGGTCATTACCAATTTGGGATGTCTGAGGCTGAGAGAAAAGAGGTTAGTGTATTTTCTGGTTAAAACCATCCTCCCAAACAGTTTTAAGGTGCAGTCATGTTTACATTGCTAGGAGAAATTCTAAAGGAAAAATCAGATTTCGCAGTGTTTTTCATGCAACAACTTTAAACTGCTAAAATAATGTGACCATGACTTCAGTCTTTATTCTCTTTAAGATTTCCAGTGATTGCCCTGGAATAGGCAAATATGTCATCCAGTCAGTTGATTTCCGTACCTCTGATAAATGCAACAAGCATTTAGTTTTTTTAGTCAACTTCTTTCCAAAGCAAGATTAATTGGATTTTAGATGGTTTGTGAATCAAAGCAATTGTTACATTGTTACTGAGTGGATTTCATTGTAAGATGTTGCTGTCTCTTATACTCTGAACTCTGCAGATGGATGAGCAGATGCGAGCGTGCTATGAGCAGACAATGAGCGAATGGCTGGGGTGTGAGGCCATTGTTAGGCAGAGAGAAAAAGAACAGCATGCTGTGGCGTTAGCCAAGTGTTCATCTGGGGCGAGTATAGACAGCACCACACAGAGAATAATGCACCGTGACTCAACCGTCAGTTATGAGGTGAGTGTCTCAGAGTGACCTTCTAAGACCAAAATGCATTGTTGGCAGGCACTGAAGACTTCCAGTCCAGACTGAAATGTTTGCTTTTGATTTTATGTAGTATTTACTTAGGGATGTGTTGTGTTTGTTATTCAGTCCTCGCAGAGCTGTAGTTCAGGGAGGCAAAGAGATTCCAGGCTGCAGAGCGACTCCAGCAGCAGTACTCAAGTAAGATTCAGACTGATGTTGTGGCCATTACATGAATATTTGTACAAGCTGACATTTCCTTAAAACATGTGATTACAAATGGTGCCCCCCTTGACCAATGTTCCTCACTCTTTCCTGGTAGTTCTTCACTTCCCAAAACCGCTTCCCCTGGAGTAGCTTTCTTCCGTTTGGCTTGTTTTTCCAGGTGTTTGAGTCCATTGAAGAGGTCGACCAGATCGAGTCCGAGCCCAAGAGTGAAGATGCCAAACAGGTGTCCAAAATCTCAAATGGAACACCGCAAAATGGCACAAGTTCTCCAGACTCCGGTCTACCCTCTTCCAGAAACTTCTCCATTACTTCTGGTCAGTCGGACTCCTTGAGCACAGAGGACAGTGGGATACATGACCCAAGCCTTAAAGCTCAACCACAGCTTGCAGTATCAAAGGAGAGGTTTGCGAGTTCATCTGGTGAGGAAGGAAAGGTGACTGAGGAAGGTGAGACCAAATCGATTGAGAAACTAGGTGTGAGAGAATATAGTAGAATTGAGGTTAACAAAGTGTTGTCTTTGGGTGCAGTTGTGGCAATATTAGAGAGAAGCAAGAAGGCCACAGAGAGCCTTTCCGATAAAAGGTCAGAGGTCGAGACTGAGGGGTTGAAAATGGCTCGCAGCCACATGACCAAAATGGAAGTGGGCGACTCTCCAGAGAGGACTTTGACATCAGAAAATGAAGCACTGACAGAGCGCACTGAGTCAGAAATTCTCAAAGTGACAGAGGTCGAGGAATCGACTACTCCAGAGCAGAAGATGAATGAGAATCGGGTAAGTGTGGACACTGAAAGGTCCCACATGGGAATGAAAGATATCAGAGCAATCCAAGAGGAACCTTTGGTTACAAAAGATCATAAGGTATCGGATGCACTTGAGCAGAAGATTGTAGCTGACATGCTGGTGTCTGTTTCAAAGGACGATGATACAGAGAAAGAAACCAATGAAATAAGCAAAGATAAAGACTGCAAGACATGCGTGGATGACGCCAACAATGTTAGTGGCACACAAAGTGCTTTAAAACCAAGTGATAAGAAAGAGAACAAGACCAGTGATTTACCCAGTGGAGCTGGAACAACAGTAAAGAGGAAAACAACATCAGTTCTCCCAAAAACCATTGGTACAGAGCTAAGAGAAGGGAAGGATGATTCAAAGAGAAGCACACATAAAGAAATGCAGAGGAACGCTCCAGTAATTGAGGAGACGGTGGTCCCATTGGTGCATGAAGCTTTTAGCACAAGAGAGATGGGTGAAGCCCAAGATGCAACGGAGTCAGACGAGTCTCCCTCTGCAATTGAAATGGAAGAGATTCCTACAGCTAAAGTGTCCATGGCTTGGGAAAGGAAGAGTTCACCCAAAAGCAAGGCTAGTGAGCAGGCAGCTGTACCTGTATTGGAGCTCAGGCTGGAGGAAGCTCATGGAAAGCCCAGCTCTGAAGGAATGGACTCTGAGGAGCCAGAGATGGAGAGTCTTTGCCCACAGCTGGATTCACTTGCTGTAAACACTGAGAAGAATGAAGATACCTCTCCAGTTGCCTCTATTGGCACCACTTATTCTGTAAGCATGTGTTTCAGAGAGGTATTTTTATATAATAACATAGTTAACTATATTATCATTATAAATATGTTCACCTTTGTAATTGCAGCAAGAGCTTTTGGACCTGTACACTCTAAATCTGCATCGCATTGATAAAGACGTTCAGCGCTGTGACCGAAATTACTGGTATTTTACTCCTGCTAACTTGGAAAAATTGCGCAACATCATGTGCAGGTAATAAAATCATTCCTATTTGACCTTCACTATTTGTGCTCTGCTTTCAGTTTTGTTTTTGATCAACAATACAGTAAAACAGTAATATTGTTAGATATTATTACAATTTAAAATAACTTTATTTTAATATATTTTATATTAATATATTTTAATATGTCATTTATTCCTGTGATGCAAAGCTGTGATATTTCAGCGTCATTACTCCAGTCTTCAGTGTCACATGATCCTTCAGAAATCATTCTAATATGCTGGTTTGGTACTCAATAAATATTTTTTTTATTATCGATGTTCAAAACACTTGCTAATATGTTTGTGGAAATCTTTTTTTTTTCCAGGATTATTTTATGGGGAAAAGATGAAATAGAAATGAAATAGAAATAAAAAAATGTAAATAGAATTTATAAAAATCTTTACTGTTGCTTTTCATTAATTTAAAGCATTCTTGCTGAATAAAATGAATGGTTTTTTTGGGGGGTTTTTTTGTCAAAATATCTTACTGACCCCAAACTAGTGTATATGTTGGCTGATATGGAATATTTAATTCCACATGCTAATTTACTGCATTTTACATTTTAGATTACCTGTGCCATCATCTAGTGCTGACTTCAAATTAAACTTTACTAACATTAATAATTTAATGAATGATCAAATGTAATCCTTAGCAAATGTAAAAATTAGTATCCATTTTTGTACTGTATAATATAATAATGTGATTACCTAAAATTGTTTAAAAAACCAACTAATTTTAGTTTTTAATGAAGAGAAAATAGGATAGAATATTAACATTATGAAAAGAATAGTAGTTTTAATACCAGTGCATGCCTATTTCTAAGTAATCAGATGTATGATTTTTGCATGGCAGATGGTAAAACATGCATTAAACTACATTAAGTCATATCTTGAGGCCAGACTATTACAGACTTTGAAGTGAGCTCTTTGACTGCATGTCAAAGCACATCAAACTCCTCAGAACACCTGGTGTTGTGATGTAGCTCAAATATCCCTGACCAACGCATATAATGACTTGTCCATTTCTGCAGTTATATCTGGCAGCACCTGGAAATTGGATATGTCCAGGGCATGTGTGACCTGCTCGCTCCCTTGCTAGTTATTCTAGATGATGGTGAGTCTGTCTTTGTGTAAACTGCTGTTCTTCATCTGTTTCTGAGTTCATGCCACTGTTTAAAAATGAAATAACCAGTACTCTTAGCTTTTCTCATCTGTTTTTATTGAATCTTTCAGAGGCCATGGCTTTCAGTTGTTTCACTGAACTAATGAAAAGGATGAATCAAAATTTTCCTCATGGAGGTGCGATGGACACACACTTTGCCAATATGAGATCTCTCATCCAGGTCAAACGTCTGCTCTAGACATTTTTCTTTAATGTTTGTTCGAAACCGGCCTTTAAATGTAAAATGTGGATGCGGATCTTTTCACTCTTCACTGTGTGTAATTAGATTCTAGACGCAGAGCTGTTTGAGCTAATGCATCAGAACGGAGACTACACACACTTCTACTTCTGCTATCGCTGGTTTCTTCTTGACTTTAAAAGAGGTAATAATATCTTTCAAATAAAACGTATAATGAGAAAAAATGTGACCCTGGACCACAAAAGCAGTCTTACGTCGCTGGGGTATATTTGTAGCAATAGCCAAAAATACATTGTATGGGTCAAAATGATAGATTTTTCTTTTATGCCAAAAATCATTAGGATATTAAGTAAAGATCATGTTCCATGAAGATATTTAGCAAATTTCCTACTGTAAATATATCAAAACTTAATTTTTGATTAATAATATGCATTGCTAAGAACGTCATTTGGACAACTTTAAAGGTGATTTTCTCAATATTTAGATTTTTTTGCACCCTCAGATTCCAGATTTTTAAATAGTTGTATCTCGACCAAATATTGTCCTATCCTAACAAACCACACATCAATGGAAAGCTTATTTATTCAGCTTTCAGATGATGTATAAGTCTCAATTTTGAAAAATTGACACTTAAGACTAGTTTTGTGGTCCAGGGTCACAAATATGGTTTAAACTGCCTTCGATGCTGCCTATCATGCAATGCGTTTACAAGTGACACTTGAGAAGAAATGTCTTCTGTTAGTTCTCATCTGCAATGAAATGAAGCCATATTTTGCTTCGTTAATGTTCAATCTCCTAATTAGCAATTGCATTTCCTTTTTTCGGTTGTGACTTAGTAATTTAAAACCTATTATAATGATATTCGGCTAAGCACAAAGCTTTACTCACATTAATGGCCATGTGCTTTATGAGAGAAAATATTTAACTTCATTAAAGCCCTTTTATATTAAAAACTAGAAAATGAGCTTCTGTCCAGGACCAAGCTTATAAACCAATTCAGAAATGACAGCTCCCCCTGCTATCCATTGATTTTCTCCAGCTTTGACTCTCTTATTTATTTAAATTTGAACAGTTGGCCTAATAAAAAAAAAGTTACTATGGCCATCTTTGCCTAATATACATATTTCAATTCCTCAGAGTTGGTGTATGATGATGTGTTTGCTGTGTGGGAGGTCACCTGGGCTGCTAAGTGTGTCTCCTCCAGCCATTTTGGGCTCTTCATTGCTCTTGCATTGGTGGAGATATACAGAGACATCATTCTAGAAAACAATATGGACTTCACAGACATCATCAAGTTTTTCAATGGTAATTATATATTCATTATACACCCTGGTATGGTAACATAAATCTCAATGTCATAAACCTCTATTAAAAAAGATCATATAAAGACATCAGCATCAAGCATATACGGTAGCTATAAAACCTGCCCTTCACGAGCATTTCAAATCTAAAGAAAAGAGGATTGTGTAACCAAAATCCAGCACCATAGTCAGCAGAGTACAAACGCAATTCAAATTAACAACCTGTTGCGTCTCATGTTTATGGAGAACTGGTAGTGCCATTTAAAACTCAAATGAAGGAAACTAAACTGACAAACAAATAGACATTTAAATTCATTTAAAAATATTTTATTCATGTTCAAATGTAGTTAAATGCAACAGTAAATAATAAATTGATCAGTCATTTCAAATGCAACATTTACATTGCATTTTTAGAATTCTTAGTTTTCTTTATTTTCACTTAGATTTCAAATGATGTATCAATTTGTTAGTTACATTTAACTATTTTTAAAACGATAAAATTCATTCATTTTAAATGTATGTATTAATTTTACAATTCATGAAGTGATTTATTTACATTTCTTAGTTTTTCATTGTAGTTTTTCATTTAGTTACATAGATGTTGAATCGAGTGTGATCTTTTTTAGCTGCTCTTGGATGTACCCACAATTCAAATGTGGAGAAATTGCTTTAGGGCTGTTTGATTGTTTATTTTAGATTTAGTTCTTGCTAAATAGCCAGGTCATTTGAATAAATGCATCCTCATATCATCCTTTGTTTTTCAGAAATGGCTGAGCATCACAATACCAAGCAAATTCTGACTCTGGCTCGAGACCTGGTTTGCAAAGTGCAGACGCTTATAGAGAACAAGTAACTCTGAAACCTCTCACCTCTGTTGTTTAAATCATGTTCGCAATGTAACCCATCAGCCCTTGCTACAATACAACAGGGAACATTTGGCCAAAGCTTAATGAGCTTCAAGCATACGGTAACATTTCCAATGCCAAACTTCTTGATCTACCTGCAATCAGTCAGTGTGCAATTTAAGAGAGTCATCTGGCTCTTTAATCAGGTTTTACTGAACATCATAGTACATGACATTTCATAAGCAGATGCTGCTAATGAGTGGTCATTCACTGTTTGACATGGAATTTTATCCTGTGTCTAAAATGCAGTCAGGATTACCAGTCAGTAGTGACTCGGGTGCTCTGTTCCAAAACCTAGCGAGCTGCCTTGCTGTCTACTGCCTACATAAACTGAAACAGAACATCAGAAGTGACTGATTTGTTTCCAATTTAATTCCAGTAGAATTTGGTGTTAGTATGTTTGCTAATATAATGACACTCATACTGGACATAGCACACACACACACATTCTAGGTAGAATAGTCAGTTTAAATCAGATTTAAACTTTTATTGATACTTGTCGGTGAAAACAAGTATTTTGAAACATTTTCTTCACTCATGTGATGCTGCCTTATAATTTAACCAATAGAACATATCTTAGAAAGCAGCATTATGTTGCAGATGTGTGCCTATGATGCCTTAAAATGCTGCCTATGTAGGCAGCTCACTAGGTTTTTAAACCGAGCAATAGTTCAGGAGTTCAGGTCAGGTGCATTTTATTGCTAAGAGACGCTCACACTAGATTTCATGCTCCATTTGCTTTCACATATATGGAGTGCCCATATGTACACTGCTGTTCAATAGTTTGGGATCAGTCTGTTTGTTTGTTTTTTACGTTTTTGGAAGTCTAATGCACACCAAGGCAGCATTTATTTGATTTAAAAAAATACAGTAATAACAGTAAAAACAATATAAAATAACTTTTCTATTTTAATTTATTTTAAAATGTAATTTATTCCTGTGATGGCAAAACTGAATTTTCAGCATCATTACTCCAGTATTCAGTATGGCATGGTACTTTAGAAGTCCAGAAACATTATCAACAATTATGCTGCTTAAAGGGATAGTTCACCCAAAAATGAAAATTATATGTTTATCTGCTTACCCCCAGGGCATCCAAGATGTAGGTGACTTTATTTCTTCAGTAGAACACAAACTAAAGATTTTTAACTCAAACCGTTGCAGTCTATCAGTCGTATAATGCATGGCAATGGTAACAAAATCTATGAGAGTAAAAAAAACATGCACAGACAAATCCAAATTAAACCCTGCGTCTCGTGACGACACATTGATGTCCTAAGACACGAAATGATGGGTTTGTGCCAGAAACTGAACAGTATTTATATCATTTTTTACCTCTAATACGCCACTATGTCTAACTGTCTTTGAGCTGGCGCACAGCATCCGGTACGTGAGGTGTGTACGCGCTCTGGCGGGCTTTACGTTAATGGGTGTGTTGATATCCAGCCGAAGAGCAATCAACCATAACTTCAGGCATCACTTTCATACGTGGAAAGTCACCACTCCCGAATGAGTTCGCACAAGAGAATGTAATCTTTTAGTTTTAAGTCGGTTTGAACAAAATCCGGATAAGCGCAAGTAAGTACCATTTTGATTAGCCGTCATACCCACAATGACTAAACTAAACTACGCCAGAGTGCGTACACACCTCACGCACCGGATGCCGTGCGCGCGCTCAAATACAGTTAGACATAGTGGTGTATTAGAGGTAAAATATGATATAAATACTGTTTGGTTTCTGGCACAAACTGATCGTTTCGTGTCTTAGGACATCAATGTGTCGTCACGAGCCGCAGTGTTTCATTTGGATTTGTCTGTGCATGTTTTTTTTACTCTCATAGATTTTGTTACTATTGCCATGCATTAATTGACTGACAGACTGCAACGGTTTGAGTTAAAAATCTTCGTTTGTGTTCTACTGAAGAAACAACGTCACCTACATCTTGGATGCCCTGGGGGTAAGCAGATAAACATCACATTTTCATTTTTGAGTGAACTATCCCTTTAATATGTGTGTGGAAAATACAGTCCGTAACTTTTTTTGTGTTCAAAATGTATATAATAAGCGAGTACACCATGAATCCATTTTCCAAACCGTGTTTTTGGCTTGTCCTGAATCACTACGGTACACCTATGATAAGTGTTTATATTCAAACTATTTTAGACTGGTTCGTAGCTCCGGCTACAATGTTCTTCCGCAAGACGCACGCAGTTCTGTTTATTAACCGCTAGAGCGCCAAAAGTTACGGACTGCAGCTTTTAAATTACTTTTGAACAGTAGTGTATTCATAGATTTTCCATCATGTACTGCATACAAATTTAAATTAAAAAGAGGTTTGATTTGTAATGCCATGGGAAACTGTAGTAGATAATATATATTATATGTAAACATTTCATTTTATTTATAATTTATTAAAAAACAGAAGCCTGAGAGTATGATATATGTTGTTAAAGATATTTGTTGTGACATCTGAAATAAATAGGGATGATTTTACTTGCTTAAAATCTAGTGTGACCGCCTTCTTAAAGCTTCTGTTTGACCTGCACACTTTATTAGTATTCTGATATGCCACTTTTAATATGATGTAGATTGTAGCTGTAGAGAGCGCTGTGCTTTCAGTCGACTGACCTTCTGCATGTGTTTCTGTAACCTGCTTATTTCCGAGTCAGTGTGTTTACTGTGAGCTGTTTCACTGAATCAGATCAGGTTATTGTATCACACAGTATATTATTAGACAATACCAAGGAATGTCTCTAGGTATTAGATTTAGAACAGAGAAAAATTGTGCGTAAATTTCTTCTCTGTGTGTTACAGAACTGAATAATGATTTGGGGTTTTCATGGGTTTATGTCATGTTTGAGTCAGTACTGTGTTTCAGTGCATTGGTGTCATGTTTTCAGTCCGCCTATGAATACCTGGCATTAGGATTTATTTTTTAGATTTGATGTTTGTGTCGGAGTGTGTGTGTGTGTGTGTGTGTGTGTGTGTGTGTGTTGTGTGTGTGTGTGTGGACCGGGACAGCTCACAATCACTACCACAAGGCCTTGTCTGCTTGATGTATTCTTGATGTTTGTGGACTGTACAGAAAAATACGTGCTATATTTATTATATAGAGAGAATCTATATTATTAACTTTGGTGTCGTTGCCTACGTGGGTTTCAGAATGGACACTAATATTCACACAAAGAAATGAAAATCATCAGCGCTCTTATTTATTTTTCATTATGAAATTGTTGTATAAAATGTACATTGCGTTTCTTCATCCACACTAACCACACTCCTCTGCTATAGATCTAATATTATAGTACCTTATAACATGTTGTAATCACAATGAAGTATTGATCCTATGATCAAACCTACGGGTCTGAAACCTTTGGTGTATCCACAATGAGGTGCAATCGGAAAGTGTATCGAATCCCAAGTATCATTTTTCATGTGTCTGATCTGTAACACAAGGCTAAAAATGACCATTTAAGCAAGAATAGTAAAGCAGATCAAAATCAAAGTGTATTCCAGACTTCTGTGAACACATGAATTTGCATCTAATCTACATAATTTATGTGGTCCGAAATGAGCAGGTGTTAATAATTCTGCTGCATTGAATGTTGTTGATTTCTTCATGTGCAAAATATATTCTAAGAAGAGAAAAAAAAAACTCATTTATAATTTGTATGTTGTTACGTGTTTATTTAAATCTGAATGTATGCATTTTGTCTGTTTTTATGTGAATGTTCTTGCTACACTGTGATCAATTACTACAAAGTGTTAAATTCTAAATATATATTAAATGGTAAATGTACTTATTTAAAAAACAAAATAAAATGGAATTGTTCTTATTTTTCCAACAAATATAATTATCATATTCCTGCTTCTGTAGGCAATGATTAAGCATGTGTGTGTGTGCATATATAACAAATATTTTATTTATAATTATATATATATTTTTTGTTCATGCAAGAGTATATTACATACAAAATTTGAGTTTCATTCCTTATATGTTATTAGAATTTATAGTGTTTTATATCAAAATGTCATTTTTAATATTTTGTATTAACATATAGATGTATAATTAGTTCAATTGCAAATATAACGTATATAGTCATACATAAATAGTCAAACGGTTGATATGTGCATTGTCTGTGCCTGCCTACTTCTCAAAAAAGCAGATTAAAAACCATTCGCCCGAACAGGGACTTGAACCCTGGACCCTCAGATTAAAAGTCTGATGCTCTACCGACTGAGCTATCCGGGCTCTTTGTAGGAATGACCGTTTGAGAAATAAAAACCGGAATCTTTTTAACTCTACTTCCGGAAAAGTAGAGTTTGGACAGCTCACAATCACTACCACAAGGCCTTGTCTGCTTGATGTATTCTTGATGTTTGTGGACTGTACAGAAAAATACGTGCTATATTTATTATATAGAGAGAATCTATATTATTAACTTTGGTGTCGTTGCCTACGTGGGTTTCAGAATGGACACTAATATTCACACAAAGAAATGAAAATCATCAGCGCTCTTATTTATTTTTCATTATGAAATTGTTGTATAAAATGTACATTGCGTTTCTTCATCCACACTAACCACACTCCTCTGCTATAGATCTAATATTATAGTACCTTATAACATGTTGTAATCACAATGAAGTATTGATCCTATGATCAAACCTACGGGTCTGAAACCTTTGGTGTATCCACAATGAGGTGCAATCGGAAAGTGTATCGAATCCCAAGTATCATTTTTCATGTGTCTGATCTGTAACACAAGGCTAAAAATGACCATTTAAGCAAGAATAGTAAAGCAGATCAAAATCAAAGTGTATTCCAGACTTCTGTGAACACATGAATTTGCATCTAATCTACATAATTTATGTGGTCCGAAATGAGCAGGTGTTAATAATTCTGCTGCATTGAATGTTGTTGATTTCTTCATGTGCAAAATATATTCTAAGAAGAGAAAAAAAAAACTCATTTATAATTTGTATGTTGTTACGTGTTTATTTAAATCTGAATGTATGCATTTTGTCTGTTTTTATGTGAATGTTCTTGCTACACTGTGATCAATTACTACAAAGTGTTAAATTCTAAATATATATTAAATGGTAAATGTACTTATTTAAAAAACAAAATAAAATGGAATTGTTCTTATTTTTCCAACAAATATAATTATCATATTCCTGCTTCTGTAGGCAATGATTAAGCATGTGTGTGTGTGCATATATAACAAATATTTTATTTATAATTATATATATATTTTTTGTTCATGCAAGAGTATATTACATACAAAATTTGAGTTTCATTCCTTATATGTTATTAGAATTTATAGTGTTTTATATCAAAATGTCATTTTTAATATTTTGTATTAACATATAGATGTATAATTAGTTCAATTGCAAATATAACGTATATAGTCATACATAAATAGTCAAACGGTTGATATGTGCATTGTCTGTGCCTGCCTACTTCTCAAAAAAGCAGATTAAAAACCATTCGCCCGAACAGGGACTTGAACCCTGGACCCTCAGATTAAAAGTCTGATGCTCTACCGACTGAGCTATCCGGGCTCTTTGTAGGAATGACCGTTTGAGAAATAAAAACCGGAATCTTTTTAACTCTACTTCCGGAAAAGTAGAGTTTTTGGTAGGACGCCTGTAGTTATGTGTCCTTAACTTTGGACCGTCATTTCAACATGTTTTGTAAATGTGCAGCGCGAGCTTCAAGGGCGCTGCGGCCTGCGCATCCTCGGTGTGGAGTATTAACGCTGCCCGCTCTAAGCAATACTGTATCGGGCAGCGGAACGTTCTGGTCACGGTGGACGTGCAAACGGGAATCAAGTAACTGGAATTCCAAGGTAAAGCTTTCTTAATTTGCAGACGGTTGGGTTTCGTTTGAACAAATGTGTAAGATGTAAATTAACCCATCAATAGGTGAGCAAATGTTTTATGTTGAACATATTATGCAATGCTAATATAAATATTTCGCACATTGTTCAACTCTCCAGGTTCACCCACATGGGAGACCATAGCAGAAAATCAACTTCCACCGGTAAGGCCTCTTTCTGCACACACGTTTATGCAGCTTATGCTTATTCCTGTGAAATACAGGAATGTGTAGTAATAGGTGTGGAGTTATAGATGTGTAACCATAGGCTGCCACTAGAGGGAGCGAGAGGAACACTGATGTGCCAGTGAGTTATATACATGTAATGTTGTTTCAGAGTTTTCAGAAAAAGCACTCAAATACAGTTCGAATCCAGAGTCTTTATTTACAAGACACGACAGTAGAGGACAGTGGGGCAAAATGTGCACCCCTGACAATTTTGTCACCAAATATTTCTCCTTGCCTAGTTGACAACCTAAGCAAAAGGTGGCACGACTGTAGCATGGTAACAGAAGCCCTCATAAAGATAAAGCTTTACTTTGACATCTTTCACAATGTTTCTTCAATCTCGCAGTAGATGGCAGCACAAAAACATAGTTCAGAAACTGAGCAGCACTCTACTGTAGTGCTTATGTGAAAAGTTTTGCCCTAAACAGCGATTATATTCATTAATAATATTTTGTACATATTCAGTTTGTCTGTTTTGTTACATACATTATACATAATTATATATAAACATTCACAAACACACATTTACAATATAATTTTTCTTTGTGTGTATATATATATATACTTTAGTATTTTGTTTATTTTGTTTTTAAGAGTACTTGGCAATCAATCTCATTCTGATATAAAAATGAAGAATTTACGTTTTCCTAAAAGACATAACAATATAACCATGTTTAATTTTATTTGCAGCCAGATTTAGTGGACAAGTTGGAGAGATTAGCCCTTGTTGACTTTGGCAGTAAAGAAGGGGTGGACTGTCTGGAGAAAGCCATTAGATTGGCTGATCAGCTTCATGTCATTAATACTGATGGTGTGGAGCCGACGGATTCAGTTCTAGAGGACAGGTACTTCAGAATCCTGCTGATGCTCACATCAACTCATATAAGTTATGTGACAGTGTGCTAGTTGTTCTGGGTACCACTTCCAGTCAGTTTAGGGGTATCCATTGAATTAAGGCCTTTTTTGATGGTGTTTTCATTTGTTGACTGTTAATATTGTTGACAAATATACTTATATTTGCTATATTTTCTCATTGCAAAATGGTGGTAGCTCTTCCCAGACACTCAAAGTATGTTTGCTCATAGTGTCAACATGTCACCATTTGATATGAGCTAAACTTTTCCCTTGAACCTCCTGTTGTGTACAGAGAGCTGTATTTGAGAGATGATAGGGTAACAGAGGGTGAATGTGTGGAGGAGCTGCTCCAGCTGGCCAAACACACAGTAGAGGAGTACTTTGTTGCACCTCCAGGTAAAAAAAAACTAAAAAAACAAACTCTTACTAAAAAGACAAGATGTTCTATGAGAACTTAAGAACAAATTAATCTTCATTCTAACATTTAGTATTGAGGTTTGTATCATGTATTGATTTAACCAGAGAAGGCCTGAACTAGAATAATTGAATATGTGTACTACTTATGAATAATCAATCTTTCTTTTTTAATGCAGGGAACATCCCACTGCCTAAGAGAGAAGAGAGAGCTGCTATGCTTAAACACTCTGAATTTTGACTGAAATGTAACAGATCAAATGTTTCGTTAGTATGCTTTATTTGCCTTTACAAAAATTCCTTCATTCCAAAAATGGCTGTTGTTCATAAAAGGCAATCAGAATTCTGTATATATATATATATATATATATATATAT